TGAAGACTGCGACAATCTCGAGAAGTGGACCTGCCTGAAGGGGCCCGGCTGAATCAGCAACTCAATCTCGAAAAGTGGGCCCGCCTGAAGGGGCCCGACTAAACAGCAACAATCTCAAGTAGGCCCGCCTGAAGGGTCCGGCTGAACAGCAACAATCTCAAGTAGGCCCGCCTGAAGGGCCCGGCTGAACAGCAACAATCCCAAGTAGGCCCGCCTGAAGGGCCCGGCTAAACAACAACTGATTAATAGAATATCTCATGCACAGGGACCAATCACAAATGCTGAATGTACTGGGGCTAGACTGAGCCAGGTCATCTGTGCAGCGACTAAACTGCCAATGCTCCCTGCGCGATGAAGAATATCACGTGCATGAGGTGATGCTGATCAGCAAGGAAATAAATCAACGGGTGCGTGAAGGCAAATCATCCCATAATAATCATAGGCTCGGGCGCACACGGACGCGCACTCAATTGAGAATACCCAGCCTGGGCGCACATAGGCGCGTACTCTAATGTACTCAAATGGCAATATCCAGCCTGGACGCACACATATCCAGCGCAAGTGTACATGGACGCACACTCAAATAACTATATCCAGCCTGGGGGCACATGGGCGCGCACTCTACTTGCAATGCCAAGCTTGGGCGCGCATGGGCGCACACTCTCAAGCTTGGGCGCGCATGGGCTCGCACTCTAACTGCAATGCCAAGCTTGGGCGCGCANTGCAATGCCAAGCTTGGGCGCGCATGGGCGCACACTCTCAAGCTTGGGCGCGCATGGGCTCGCACTCTAACTGCAATGCCAAGCTTGGGCGCGCATGGCCGCGCACTCTCAAGCTTGGGCGCGCATGGGGGCGCACTCTAACTGCAATGCCAAGCTTGGGCGCGCATGGGCNTGCCAAGCTTGGGCGCGCATGGCCGCGCACTCTCAAGCTTGGGCGCGCATGGGGGCGCACTCTAACTGCAATGCCAAGCTTGGGCGCGCATGGGCACGCACTCTAACTCCAATGCCAAGCTTGGGCGTGCATGGGCGCGCACTCTAACTGGAATGCCAAGCTTAAGCGCGCATGGGCGCGCACTCTAACAGCAATATCGAGCTTGGGCGTGCATGGGTGCGTGCTCTCAAGCTTGGGCGCGCCCATGGGCGCGCACTCTAACTGCAATGCCAAGCTTGGGCGTGCATGGGCGCGCACTCTCAAGCTTGGGCGCGCATGGGCGCGCACTCTAACTGCAATGCCAAGCTTGGGAGCGCATGGGCGCGCACCCTCAAGCTTGGGCGTGCATGGGCGTGCACTTTAACAGCAATATTGAGCTTGGGCGCGCATGGGCGCGCAATATCTGGTCTGGGCGCGCGCGGGCACGCACTGAAAATAATTATCTGATCTGGGCGCGTGCGAGCGCGTACTTAAAAATAATAATAGGTTTGCGCGCGTGTGGGCGCGCACTGAAAATAAATATCAGACATGGGCGCGCGCGAGCGCGCACTGAAAATTATAATCAAAATTCAATCTTTGCTTGGGACTAACATACAACTATTTGCAACAGGGTACTGCTCGCCAAACTTGGCCTTCTCTTAGGGCCAGACTACTATCGTCATCATATGAGAGTTGGTCAATAGAGTATGTGCAGACTAAATACCCAGTTGAAATGGACACCAGTGCTCTTCGGTCACGGTGCACAACAACACACACACAGTCGCGAACAGCAGAGATGTTTCTCAGTCACAGTACGCGACTGCGCACAGTTGAGAATAGCAAAATATTCTGAAATGTCCCTTGCCAATGGCCCAGTGCTCAGAAAAGGCTCTTGCGATGATGGCACTGTTCAGAAATAGCACTATTCAGAAATGGCTCTCGCGAAAATGGCATTGTTCAGAAATAGCACTTGCGAATAGCTCTGTCCAAAAAAAATGGCTCTTGCAAATAGCACCGAATAGCACTGTTCAATAATGGCTTTTTGCGAATAGCACTGTTCAGAAATGAATAGCGCTGGCGAATAGCACAATGCTCAGAAATGGCCCTGACGAGTAGCACAATGCTCAGAAGTGGCCCTGACGAATGGCCCTGACGAATGGCCCTGACGAATAG